AACATTGGCGGCGATATAACTCCTATATAGTAGTTCCACCAGCATTATGAAGCCTAAAATGGCATTACGATAAACCTAAGAAACTTTCTTACGTCTGGAAAATAACAAATATCGAGTCAATTCCTTCATAACGAATTACCTAAGTTTTGCGAAACAATGGGGTAAGGAAGATACACTGTCGAGGTTTCTCAACTGTTAGGTTTAGGCACTTATACCATCGAACTCAGTGAAATGCTTAAATTCATGACTGCTATACTATTTGAGGTTGAGGTGGCCGAGCGGGCAAACTCGCGTTAAATATCTAAACTTATTATTACTATTTTTTCTTTATTTATTATTACTAATATTGTTAATTCCTTTGTCTCAAAGTGTTATTGCCTCAGTTATTGTCTCGAAGGGTTTGAATTGACCTGCTTTAACCATTGATAGATTTATGCTGTCATTCTCCAGCAGATGTTGACAGTCCTCATACAATTTATGGCTACAACATTATTGCCGATTGTGTCTCATAAAATATACCTGATTTTGTATATTGAGCCTCATTATTCCCAGAAGTTTATAGTTATCACATGTTTGGTGCATTATTAATTTTAACAAAAGCCAACCTTTCCACGGGAGTAGTTAAATAATAGCCATCCCCTCCTTTATCATTTCCTATATATTGAGCTCCAAAATATCCTACAGACAATTCCAAGTTTAGAAGTCATATAACATTAGTTTAGGCCACACAAGGCTAGTTTGTAAGAAGTTTCTATAACCTTATTTCAGTATAACTTTATATTTTACAATTAAAGTAAATTTCAAAGTCTTAACTGTTATACGAGTTCTTTAATTCGCGTGCACACAACACCGCGCGTTGCCCAATAACCTGATATTCGAAGTTATATAGTGAGTTTAAATCCCGGTGCTCTGTAGCCCCGTGAAAAACAACTCCATGTAGCCTAAAAGGCAAGGAAGGGGAGAACAAAAATAAAAAGGCTACTATACTATGAAGAATAGCTTGAAATGTAGGCCAATTATAGAAAAATACAATAATTGATATATTATTAAGTTTTTGTATTATTTATTTTTTTTATTGTAAATAGAGTGTGAGTGTGCTTTCTCTGAACACTATTATAAATGTCCTTGATGTGACAGAGTGTAATATTTCTAAATAAACAAAAAAAAAAAAAAAAAAATTGATATATAGGGAACAATAAATGACCAAATATATTTCAATAGAAGTTTAAAAATAAAACACAACGCTTTATTATTTTCAAATACTTTTAAATGTAATACTAACAGATAAATGAAGACAAAACAAAATATATGACAATAAGACGAAAATTCCATTCCAATAAAAGGATATTCGTAGAAGGAAAATTATTCCCGAGAGTAGGAAAATTCAAATACCTCGGCTCCACAATAACTTCAATGAATGAATGACTAATGAGCAGCAATAGACCAGCGTATAACCAGTGCGAAAAGAGCTTTCTTCACCTTCTCAATGTTATTGAAATCTCGAAAAAACTCAAACTAAGGGTGTACAATGCTATGATAAAGCCAGTTTTAATATATGGCTGTGAGACCTATACACTAACCAACACCCTAGAAAAAAGTGTTGAAAGATTTGAGAGAAAAATCCTCCTCACGATAACCGGAGCGATCTGGGATCAAAGTAGTAACACATGGATAAGAAAGATCAATAAAGAAACTAGTCAATCAATATCTCATGATATGAAGGTACGGAGGTTAAGATGGGGGCATGTAGCTCGTAGAAATTCATCTGGAAGCCTTTACGTAACAATGAATGACTCAATAGAAGGCCAAAAAGCAGTTGGATAGATAGAATCAACAAAGATGCAATAGATCTGCGTGCAGATAAATGGAAAGAAATAGTCAGAGGCAGAGACGGAGCAGGCTTGTTAAGGCGGAAAAAGATCTACTTGGTTTGTAATCGCAACAGAAAAAACTAGTTATAAATGTAATACTACTTTCCTTGTCAATTATATTAGATGGAAATAAATAAAAAGAAATTGCTAATAATGGACTGAATATTTTTTTTTCGTCGCTAGTAATTTTATAAGAAATATAGAAAACAATCTCTATTGCTTCAGTTGGTATAAAACTTTCCAAAATTCAAATAGCAAAATAAAGGATAATTGCTAATAAGTGAAGATAACTTGATAAAATAATTACGATTTCGCGTCCTGGTGCTAGGGAGCATTAATCCTCCGCCCTCTCTTTTAGATAGGGAAACCAAGTTTAGCCGAAAAGGCGAAGAAGAGGTCAGTAAAAAAACCAATAGATCAGTATTGCAGTAGAACGTGTGATAAATATTTAGAACAATATATCTTTGCATCAAATTGTCTGATTTTAACAATTTTTTTTTATTCTTTTTGAAATTTTGTAAGCTTTAACACTTTAACCGCGGACGGGATACCTGCCTTCCCGTCTCGACTATTGCCATGTGTAGCGGTTGGAGAAACTGTTCTCATAGCCTTGTGGCTTGGTCTGTGCATTCATTGGTTCTCTGCAGCTCACTCAGTTCGGTCGTTTCGGTTAGGAACCATTTGTTGGACACATTAGTTGCAGATTTATTCTGAATTCATTATTAAATAAAAAGATTTTAAATGCATTTTTTAGAACTAATATCTTTCAGGATGAGTCAAAATAGTATTTTAAACAAATTTAAAGAAACAAAAAATTTTTTTCTGAACGTCTTTTTGGATTTCAGAACCAAACTTTTTCCCAACTTTTTTTTGAAGTATGTTACATAGATAAATTTAAAGGGCTTCGAAGGAGGAGACTGTAGCCAAGTATCATTGAAATCGGTACATTCGTTTAGAAACTACAGTCTTTACAGTCTAAGTTTGTCGGCTGTTATCTTGGAAGGAAAGTACTTTTCGGTGGTGTGTTATGTTTTATTGAAAGCGGAACATCCCGATAGGCGCTACAGTCAATAGCGACACACGGTTTTTAGTTGCCATATTTAAAGGAAAGGGCAGATGGTAATACCGAGTTCCAAGAATCATGCCCTTTGACATTGATACCAAATCTCAAAACAATCGGTTCAGCAGTTTCGGAGAAAAGTCTTGGACGGTGAATTACCGTTTTTTAAATTTTATTTTAAACGTAAAACATTGAATTTTGACGGGGAGGTGTAACGTTTTGGTTTATTATTTTCAATAATCAACCATTGTGATCGACCAAAAAATTAAAAAATTTAATCCCTCTCAAAATTTGAGGTTTCACGTTTCAGGATGCGTAGAATTCGAAAAACGAATAAAATTTTTTTTGTCCTTCCGTCGTACGCGCATTTTCTCCGAAACTACTGGACCGATTTTTTTCTAATTTGGATATAAAATCAGAGGTCACCCGAGGATGATCCTCCTTCATCGGTATTACTATCCGCCTTTTACTTATAAAATTGTCTATATTACATACTTCAACGAAAAGAAGCTGGAAAAAAAGTTACGAGGGATGGTAAAATTCCGAATAACTCAAAAAGTTTACACTTTTTGTCAATAGCGTATGCGGTTTTTTAAAAGTTTACGATATTTTCTAAAAACAAAAAAAAAAAAAAAAACTCGTCAAAATCGGACAATTAGGAGCAAAGATATGGTCTCCTGTTTTTTATATGTTCTACTCCAAATGTTATATCCTTTGTTTGGTTTTTAAATTTTGAATGTGTTACTGAATTAATGCTACTTTTTCTTTTAGCATATTACTAATGATTAATGAAAAAAAGTTTAGTCCAATAGTTGGTGTTGGGGCCAGAGCTACTCCAAAATCGAAGTACAAATCTTTCCCCGGTGCGTTTCCTCAATGGTGGGGAAAATTAGAGTAAAATTAAAAATTTTGGGAAAGAGAAAAAAAATAAGAATAAAATGAGATCCGTAAAACGTGAAAAATGCATGCACAAGATAATAATATTAAATAAAAATATTCAATTAATTTAAAATGTTAAGATATACAAAAAAAAAATCATCTTCTAAATGTTTACAATTTATTAAATAAAAAAGAGAGATATAAATTTATATAAAAGTTGAAATGAACAATACTGGGAATTTACGAGAAAAATTAAAAGATAAATACAATATCCAGTGAAAATAAAACAAAATTAATCATCAATAACAAAATATAAATAAACTCAACTTCAAAATTATAGATAAAACAAGAGAAAACAAAATAACTGCCCAAAAAGAATAACTAATTTAGCGAAGAAAACAATTAAAATTAATATTTAAATGTCTTGGTGATGGTGAGAATATAAAAAAAAAAAAAAAAAACGAGTCAAGTTGGAGGTTCTGCCTCAACCTGGTTACCTTCTCGATGCTTAGCTGTCCAGTAATCGATGGTGGGATGGTATCGATCTCGATCGATTGCTCAGCTGCGCCTAACAGCTGCTATCGAAAAATGGCGCTAGACTGGTGAGTTGAGGTGAAGTGAGTCTGGACTGGTGGGGGTAGACGTCCACTACTATGTCGACAAAGGCTAGTTCCAAAGTGGCTTAAGACCGCATCCTGACAGTATTATGGCATTATTTTTGTCTTAATCCCTAAGACCGGGCATTACTGCCGAGCTGGTGTGTATACAAATGCGATAATACATCGCAAAATAAACTCAAATGTATAAATCATATAAACTAAATACATTTTTGAGATAATTGTCCCTCAGTTTTTTACCAAAACAAATTAATTAACATTTTATTGTTAACACTCAAAAAGGGGTAAATGGTGAGAAAAATAATAATGAAAAAATTAAAGATATGTGTCTATGCGGCGTTAACAGTTGGAATCATCTTTTATTATTTGTAATTAGAAAGGTAATGTTACTTTAGATGTATAATGGTTTGGAAATAATAAACCATCGTGGAATAATTTGCAGCGTTTTTTTGGTCGATTACAAACTTTGATTATTGAAAAAACTAAACGAAAACAACTTTAGCTTTGCATGTTGTCTGCATGCTGATAGAGTTTCGTTTTTTTTTTTCTAATAAATCTCAATAAAATACTCACCGTAGTTATTCCACTGAGAAACGCCCTGGTGGCCAGAGGCCCCGGACCATCCACAGTCTTGCCATCATCCTCTGGTCCCCAAGAAGCCGAGTATATGTCGATGTGGTTGGGGTTCAGAGACAGAGCCCTGGCTTCCACCGCATCACTCACAGTTCCGTCCAGCATACGCACTCCTGCAACAAACTTGATATGTAACAAACATGACCTTACACATACATGGTCAGTTGAAGACAGATTAATCGGATTTTTATGTCAATGGATTTATTTATTTATACAAACATTTTCAGTTGTAAAATAATTAAAAATTTATATTTATAATATTGTCATGGAAATGCTTGACCAAAATTATAATTTGACCGCTCCCTCCCCCCCCCCCCAATCAACTCCTTCTCATATCATATCACGGTCAACCATCTCTACCATCATTATAATTATAATAGTATTGTATTGTGTTTGCCAATGTTTCGTTCTACATTTTAGATCTTCATTAGGACTAAAAATATAAACAGTAATTGGTACAAGATAAATAATTAAGTAAAAGATCAGTTAATATTAAACTAGTACAGGTTACCAGATACAGAATTGAAGAAATTATGAGAAATCACAAGTGTTGAAATGAATTATAGCATCATTTGTAATGTATTATGTATATATATAATGGATTCTACTAGATTGTATATTATCAGTGTAAGTATTTATAGCTCAGTAAATTTAGGATTTGACATCGAGAAAATTCATAATTGGCTGTAAATATGGAAATTAGTTCCTTATCGAATGCAGAACAAACCATGAAAATTCTCCTAAAATCCCATGCCCGCTTCTATCCAAAATGGAAGGTCAAATATGGCCACCTAGCACTTTCTGTATTATTTTATGTTTTTCCTAATATCTCCGTCAAAAACCATCGTTCTTGAATTCCAAAAGTACTAATATAATCGGCAAGGATGCTTGTTTTATAAAATAATGATAAACGAGCTTTTAATTGATCTATCGTGAATAAATCGAAATTTTCTTTATTTTAGTTCTGTCATCCCTCATAAACTTGTAAATATTGACAAATGAGAAATAATGTTTCTCATATTTTTTGTAGTTTTTAATAAGATGAATATTCAAAAAATTGTTTTTTTCATATTTCCTGAAAAAAGAAATGATCTCAAAGTTGAATTCCATCCCGGACTATTCGAACTAGATAGCTAGTTCTAGACTAGGAGCTACGCATTGTTTCATTTAACTGAAGGACTTACAGCTTTTTTTTTTTTTTTTTTTTTTTAAACTTTTATTATGATATTTACAACTGTATTAGTATGAATACATCAAGTAAATGTGTACAGAGGAATATAATAACATGAAACACGCTTGTTGAGAAAATACCCATTGGTAGCACTCTAATAATTTGTCTACATGAGGAGATCACGAGGCCATCTTCTTTTCATACGCCGCCTCGGAGGGTTATCAGGAATCGAAGAGGAAGCAAGGTTAGAAACGAGAGGATTCGGATGGTTATGAAGTTTATTATGGAAGGATAGGTATCTGGATTCGGCCAAATCAAAAACATATGGAACCTTGAGGTCTTTATGGATTATTTTATTTGCGACAAAGTGAGGAGCATTGAGGATTTTACGAAGGATTTTGGATTGTAAAGATTGGATACGAGAGGAATTTGATGGTTTAGTGGAGCCCCACAGTTCAACTCCATAAGTCCAAATAGGTCTTATTATAGTCATGTATATGAGTCGTTTGTAATTAATGGGAAGTTTAGAGCGTTTGTCTAGTAAGTGTTGGAGTAAGCGGAAACGTCGAGCAGTTTCTTGTCTTTTCAGTCTTGTATGAGGATTCCAAGTGAGACGTTTGTCCAGCTGGAGTCCAAGGTATCGGATTTGTTCTACAGGGATAATTGGGGTGTTGTTAAAGGATACTATAGGGCAGGAAGTCATTGGTTTACGACGAAGGGTGGAGGTTATTTGATGGGATTTATTGGAATTTTACTTACAGTTAGTAGCCATTTTTGATTGTAGATAAACTTCATCTGAGCTCACAACTTCGGACTGTCGATGGAAAGCAATTGCTTTTTATACGAAAATATAAATTAAAGGGGTGATATTTTATGTTTCGGATATGATTTATCGGAAGAATTGACAGCTGAAATATTTAAAAAAAAATTTTTTTAAGGCTTCAACCACTAGGGTCATTATCGCCTTATTCTCATCGAGAACTAGATTTTATTCTTAAGTCCAGAACATTTCAGAAAAGAAAACAGTTTATCGACCTCATTCTTATTGTCCTGTAAAATGGAGTGTAGATCGTCTAAATGTTTCGTAAGCTCTGCATTCTGTTAAAAGTGTTTCAGTGTCAGTGGAGTCCCACAAGTTTGGCATGTTAGCAAAGAATCACGGGCCATCAGGTATCTACGGGTAAGGCGTGTATGACCTATACGCAGGCGCGCAAGAATTACTTTCTCTCTACGGTTATTCCTATTTGACGATGACCAAGAGGAAATGACACCCTTAACCTCCCTCAATTTATTTTCGGTTACATTCGACCATATCTGTTCCCATTTTGTCCTCATTCTCCGCTTATTCTTGAAGACAGTTACAAAATCCTCTACATGCACTCCCCGATAAGGTATTCCATCAGTAATGGTTTTTTTGGCAGCTCGAACAGCCAGTTCATTACCAGGCTGAAATATTTATATCGTGTAAAGAATGTTTCCCTAAAACAGAATTCACCGAGACTGACAATGTAATCTGTTGCATTTCGAAAAGTGACGACGTCAATATATATATATATATATATGTGTGTGTTTGTGTGTCTATTTTTTTTTGTTACTATAATTATACCTTTTCCTTTTTTTGTGAGATGTGTATGAATTTTGGTTGGATATTACATGTTTTTTTTCCGATCAGCTGTTTGATCATTATTTTTCTCAGCTGTGTTACCTTATCTTCTTTCCAATGTCATGGAGTGATGTGATCTTCGATTTGTTTTTTTTTTCTTTTGTCCTGATGTTGCCTAAATTGCCGAAAAGTTGACGGTTTTTTTTATAGTCACCTACATTTTAGAAAAAAAACGCTGTGTGGTTGAATTTTTTGCCATTATAATCTGACATTGGATTTCTGTCTTTTGCTGAGTTATTTACTGATTTATAATAATAAAATAAAATTTGAGAAGGAGTTGGTTCGTAAAATTTTGGAGAGTTGGAAGCGTGGTATTAGCTACTGTAGGAAGCAGTTGGTAGTCTGACTACAGAAAAAAAAAAAAAAAAAAAAAAGAAATATATATATATATATATATATATATAATTAAAATAAAATTATTAAGGAATTATTGTTTTTCCGAAAATTGAATCAATTAGATATCTTCTTTTTATCCTAATAAAAGGACCATCATAAGTAAGTTATTCCTTACTGGGCGGAATGAGAACCCAAGCATCAAAATGAGGCGGTATTAAAATCAGGTTGAGCTATTGATTTTCACTTTTCCTACTCTTCGAGTGCTCTTTTTTTGCCCTATTGATATGGAATAAATTTACATGGTCAACCAGCGGCTCTTCATCTCTTCATTTTTATTTTTTAAACTCTTTATTTTTTTTCTATCTTTTTTTTTTCTTCAGAATCATAAATATAAAAAAATAATCTAAAACATCACACAACTTCCACTTATGACCTTTTTCTTAGCAGAAATAAGTATGTTCAGACAAAAGAAAGTGAAATTTAAAATTATAGACGGAATGAAACATTAATTAAAACAATTAATTATCATATGTTTTTCATAGCCGTCAAATGTATAACATTTATATTATTTGACACTGGCTATTTCCTTTTACAACTGTATATCTTAATTATTTATTTGATTATTATAAATAATTAAGTTACACGAATATTTTTAGCCCGACAACACTGCCACTGATAAATAAGACGCTATATTAAATTTTTATATCATTGTGGGTATTATTATCTGTTTAGGTACAAGTATATATACAGATTTTAATTTGAATATTGCTCTAATCTATAAAATTAAATATTAAATACAAACGAAAGAATTTATGAAAGAAGAAGAATTTATGAATATGTTTATGTATATAATATTGTTGGAGCCCGTATTATATATATTTTTTTATTAATTTGTTTATTTAGATATATACTATTCTGTATCGTGGACAATAATTATAGTGATAAATGAACACATTCACACCATATATACAGAAAATCTAAAATTAACAAAAGTAAACTATGTACAAAAAACAAAAATGTAAAATAATAAAAAAAACTATGTATAACAAAAAAATAAAATAACTTAAAGATAAGTAAATTATAAACGTAAAAACACTGTCATATCTATATACAATATATACAATCAGGCAGAGAACCCAGAGCCAGGCTTATCCCTCCAACTATAGAAGGAAAACAGGACTTCAAGAGATCCCTGCGCTACTCTCTCAACCGTGTGACTGGTGCTAAATCCAGTGGAGTTTGAGCGAGAGCGCTTTAGCCACTCATGTCTTGAGTGGAGAATCTGGCCATTGCCAGAACTCCAAGATATATACTATAAAAGATCTTTGGGCCACTGCCGCTTCAACCTTCTAGGAGGATTGTAGTGATGAATGGAACTAGATAGGGATTGTGCCAGAGTATTTGGATGATTTATAAGGTTCTGATGGAATTTGGAAAAGTTTTCAGGGATAAGGTCAAGGACAAATGGGATATTAAGGTCATGATGTAGAGTTTTGTTGGTTACATAGAACAGAGCATCGACTATTGTTTGGCGGAATTTGGATTGAAAGGATTGGATGAGTATGATGTTAGAAAATTTTGCCGGATTATTTAAAGCTCATGTTACATATGGAAGCCTATACTAATCTTTCGGACAAGCTCGTATTCCTTTGGTACCTCTTTTACAACTAATCTCCGTTACGATCTCTTATTGCTCCTTTAGTTAACTATCAAATTATTTCATATTTCACTATTTTTTATATCAGAACTACTTGTGAAATGATTAATTATTTCAATTCCAAAACATCCAAGATGAAATGTTATGATGGTGAAGATAGTAGCAAACTGAATTAGAAATAGATTAGAAATAAAACGGCTCTAACGACTTTGATGAAACTTTCCTATAATGTTCTAATCATTGTTCTCTCAATTTTTGTATATAGACTAAATTCCCAAAAAAATTC